ACGTCTGAATCAGAGTTGATTTCCTGCCGTGCTACAGTCGAACCAAATTGCAATTTAGTTCGGCACGGCAGAAGCACGACGTCTGAACTGGGCCTTATATCTGAAAACCTGACTCTCCCTGCGTTGGACGAAAACCAAAACTGGGTGATGTTTTCTTCGTATGTTGTCCACGAACCCTTAAAACCCTAGCTGCAAAGATAAATAAAAACTTGCTTTATTACCAAAATCCAAATGGCTTTTAAGTTTTCCAAACATGACAACAGTATTACCGAAAATTGTTTCCTCGATAACCTTTCTTGGGTGATTTATCTGAAAGAGGACCAGGCGAAAGCTATGCATTCTTGCGGGTGTTTGTCGTCTTTATAAGCGAACTCTGGCTAGTACATATATACATGTTATTAACTTCTTGTGTTACTTACTGTCCTGAACAGTGTTTACAAGGGGCCGGATATGTAAACAGCTGAAATAAGTCTTGGCGAATCCCCAAAGCGACTTAAACACGGCTGACGGCTTTCGGGATTTTGAACTGGTTTCTTTACCTGGCGGAAATAGGCGTGAGTGTAAACAAAAAAATAACACTCGCGAAAACAAAGGGCGACGATTATTTGAACAAAGGGGTTTGCTTTATATTGTTCTTTCTTAGTTTTGGCCATAAATCAAAACAAACAATTTGAGGACAATTACCATACGTCCACGGAAGACGTACTTGTCTCAATCGGTGTTTGATCTGCATTTTAATTTACTTTACCTGCCTCTGAATCTGCTCTGAGTCAAGTAAAGTCATGTTACGTTTTGACATTATTCTCATTAATTGGCTTAGTGAAGGACTCGCTTAAAACTTGTTATTTTTCCCTCTTTTCCATTTTATAGTAAATAGTGTTAGGTGAAAATCGAATAAAACTTTCAAAGTACTGAAAATTAACTTACCGCTTCATTTGTTTTTAATAGTTTCAAAATTTCCGAGGAAGAAGTCCAAACAAGAATACTCACTCACCCGTAAGTATATCTTTTAAGAAAAGCAGGCGGTACTAATATCTTTTTGGCACAGTGAACTACAGAATAATGTCAGGTTTAATTGAAGTTCCACAGGTCAATAACGTAACCTTATTGCATGTCTGTTTCCTTTTATCTTACTTCACGACGTGAAAACTGGATTTCCTGTCAGGTTAGATTGTGCTAATCGCAAAAAAAAGCGTAACAATGAAACAGGAACGCTACTGAGCAGAACCTATATAGGAATATTGATCACTCACGGAAATTTACGTTATGTTTATATTATGACAGAATTGTCATTGTACAAAATCTCTTGTTAGATTTCTTTCCGAGACGATCCAATCCCGGTTGCAACTTTTCTTTTTTCTTTTTGGCGCGAAGGTATGTCTAAATTTTCGGCAGCCTTTCAGGCCAGTGCCTAAACTAACCGTTTCCTTTAAATTAGCCACTAATTTGGCTCATCAGTCACAATTATCACAGTTTACTTTGGCCGAAGGATCTGGTACAAGTTCCACAACGACCATAACATGCATGGCAACAGCGAGCTTATCGTTTCTCTTGTAGTCATTAACATAAGCCGATTTTGCTCCAGGTCCTACAGTTATCTGGTATTATTTGTTTTATCTAGAAAAGAAAAACACACAGCACTATGGCGTGTAGATTCGAAAAATTGTTTATTTTCTTTAGTTTTGTAAAACAAAACTAAACAATTTGCGCACGAAAGGCGACAGGAGAAGAAGGTTTTGTGAATACTGACAACATATCTGGCGGGGAATTATCACTGACCAGTCTAAGACTGGAAAATTGTTATCGTTTTGGCATAACACATTAGAAGGTAAGATATGAAGGTTAAGATCCGCCATGCCGCGGATAAAAGAGCTGACCTTGTGCTTTTTTTTTAGCGCAAGCTGTGTGTGGGTGTGATTTTTTTTTAGTTTTTCCAGCAATGCGGTTAGAAGTGTAGAAATCCCCTGAAAAACTGTCACAAAACGCGCCGAAAGCATTTCCGCCAAAACACCAGTTGATATCGGCACATTGTATGATACGCTGATTACAATATCAAAGATAACTGCTTTTAGACGAGTACTTTCTTCTTACAAATTAGCCAACGTTTTGTCGTTAGAGTGAAAAGTTAAAATATGGGTCTTATCGCAACAGTTTCCCAAATCTAATAACCACAATGATCGACGTGATTTTGGAACGTCACGTCGGAACTTCCGGTGTTCAATATCCAAGCACTGCCGAAAGAGCTTTTAAAATACACACAACACGTGGAGAACAATGCCATAATGCAGTAATTGTTGATCGAGCGCATTTCATTGGATAAAAGAGTGAATCTCTTTTAGAGTGGTAAAGTGATTACATGGATAGTTCTATTATCATATATGTTTACCTGTTATCTACCTGTGTGGTTTTTTTATACGTTCGAGCAGCGATCGTTGAAAAAAGTGATTGAAAGTCGATATCAAAAGGTCACAAATGTGAGATGTAAACATGGTCAAAATGCGTTTTATGTGCGAACAACATGATGGCGTCCCGATGACCTTGAGTGCATCGATGGAACATGTAAAATGTCAAGGTAGCGCCTTTTTGTCCCTGTGTGTATCCAAGAGGTGACAAAACGCCGAACATTTGCATAGGTACGCAAAGGAATAAAAAACTCACACGGCAGCGATGGATGAAAAACGAAAAAACTTCTTCGCTTTAATCGTTGGCCCATAACAACAGGAAACCGCAGAATTGTTTAGATCGGAAGCGATTGAGAAATGCATGGCTTCTTGCCAGAATCTTGAGCATGTAACAACTACATTTGATCTCTTTTCTCTGACTAATTGGCGAATGCATTGGTGTTTTGTTTTGTGTGACATGACATGCTTGACGAATCATGGTGTCAGATCTAATTAGTTTCCCTTTCGCAATACAGCCCTCTGCCCCCACATTGAGTAGAGGCGGATTTCATAAAAAAAAAGAGAAGTTGAAAAGCCGGGGAGGTTGACACTTTCTAGAATGAGTAGGACGTGTTGACTCCTCCGCGATTGAAGGAAAGTTGATCGCAATGCATGTCACGTTGTGTTGTTACGGACCTCTCTCTATTGTTTGAAATTACATAAAATTGGATGTAACATGCTTGTGTTCTCGGTAATTTACAGCCGGCAGGCTTCGTAAATACGCACGCCTGATTGGCCAGTGATCATGTTAACTGGGATTTTGATTGACAGGTAAGTAGCGTTAGAATGAAATGGCCATGTGAGTTCCTTTTCGCGCCACGCCTTCTAGTCAGAAAAAACGCTCTGTGATTGGCGGTTTTCAAAACGAAACAAAAGCGGCTCGCAGCTCAAAGGAGCCGTGTGTGGATGCAAGTGACGCAGCGAATGATCACACAGTAGTGAATCATAGAGAGTCGATCACATGTGCTCGCACAACGAAATTCATTCCTTCGCATAGATCGCCAAGAACACAGTACCTTACTGTGGCTTGCGCCCAGTTTCTCAGGTTCAATGCGATTATTCTGCAACGCTAAAATGGCCGAAGGCTTGGATAAGTTAGCTGGGCTGAACAAGATGCCTTGTCCACAATGTGCATGTCATAACGGCATCGATGATCCAAAAGTTCTCCCGTGTTTACATACTTTTTGTAAGAACTGTCTTACGTTAGCCGTGGAAGGCGGCCGCTTGAAATGTCCAAAGTGTCGGCTGAACGTTCCGCTTTCAGAGGCCGGGATCGACGGTTTACCTACGAACATATTCAGCCATAATATTCTCGATGTGTTAGTGCCGAGCCAGGGAAACATCGAAACAAGCAGCTTGATCCGAGCAGTGATACGCGATTGTAGCAATTGCAGTGAGGGATCAATGGTTACGGCACATTGTAAGGACTGTAGTGAATATCTATGTGATAACTGTGTACGTGCTCACCAGCGAGTACGAATCACCAAGGATCACCGAATCATTTCCTTTATCGAAGAAGCCGCAATGATGCAAAGCAAAACAACCAGCGCCACTGGCACATTAGCGGCTTCACCAGTAACTTCAATCTCGCCACTAGCAACGATGGCCGAGAAAACTGCTTCTGATGACTTGATTCGTTGTGGAAAACATGAAAATGAATTTTTACGGCTGTATTGTGAGACTTGCTTCACTCCTGTGTGCAGCGAATGCACTTTCCATGAACATCGAGGCCATAGTTTCCAGTACCTTCGCGAGGCCGTCGAATCCACTAAGGTGATCGTGGGAAAGTTGATCACTGATGCCAAACTGGAGATTTGTAAACTGGAAGAATCCGTCAACTCTTCTCAAGCGATAGCCGAGCAAGTGGAATACAGAGCACAGACGGTTTCAAACGAAATCCGGCAAACGGTACGAAGACACATGGCTGCCCTGGAAGAGCGAGAGCGCGAGCTCTTACGACGCGTGGAGAAAGTGCGCCAAATTAAAGGTAAATCGCTTCATTTACAGATTGATGAACTTAAGACTAGCCTAAGTAAAGTGTTGAGCGTTTGCGAGTCATCAGAGAGATCGGCAGAACTGAGCACGGACCCGGAATTGCTCGTTATTAAGAACCGTTTATCAGAAACTCTAAACGAACTGAGGGCCAAGCGTGGCCTGCTACAACCCCACGAAGATGACGCCATATTATTCACTCCTCCCGATCAGGCATTGCAAACGGCTATTAGTTCTCTGGGGATTGTTAGTAGCAGCGCTTTTGCTCCCTATTCCTGTGCCACTGGGGATGGATTAAGACGCGGTATTCGCGGCAAAGTCGCAATGTTTATAGTGCAAGCCAAAGACCATCAAGGCGAAAACCGTTGTATCGGTGGTGACCCCTTGCGCGTCTTAGTGCAAGGTCCCGATGGGATCTTCTACCGAGCTGAGGTTAGCGATCGGCAAAATGGAACTTACACAGTTTCTTACCGCCCTCAAGTGACTGGAGAACATGTTGTTTCAGTAACAATTCGTGGTCGCCACATCAATGACTCCCCGTTCAAAGTCGCTGTTATTAAGGGTCGCAATTACTCTGGCGTGGGGCCAGTGGTTCGGTTTTTTGGCTCAGAAGGCGAAGCGGACGGTGAACTTTGTCGCCCGTGGGGCGTTTGCTGTGATGAAGATGGCAATGTTATTGTGGCCGATCGCAGCAATAACCGTATTCAAGTCTTCGATTGCTACGGGAATTTTCGTCTCAAGTTCGGATCTGCAGGCTCCAGAAATGGACAGTTCGATCGGCCGGCAGGGGTAACTTGTGACAATGATGGGCGAATTATCGTTGCCGATAAAGACAACCATCGTATTCAAGTCTTCAACGCCGATGGAACTTTCATTCTGAAATTCGGCGAGAAAGGGTGCAAGAACGGCCAGTTCAGCTATCCCTGGGACGTGGCTTGCAGCAATGAGGGCAACATTCTAGTTTCGGACACACGCAACCACCGTGTCCAGCTCTTCAACCGCGAGGGCAAGTTCCTTGGCAAGTTCGGCTTCGAAGGCATCCACTGGAAAGAGTTTGACTCTCCTCGTGGCGTTGCGTTTAATCATGAAGGCCATATGATTGTCACCGACTTCAACAACCACCGCTTGCTCGTGATCAGGGCCGATTTTCAGCACGCATGGTTCCTAGGAGTGGAGGGAAGCAAGAACACCGAGTTCCTACGCCCCCAAGGAGTCGCAGTGGACCAGGAGGGGAACATCATTGTTGCCGATTCAAAGAACCATCGAATTCAGATCTTCCAACCTAACGGGAACTTTCTCTGCAAGTTTGGAACACACGGCAGTGCTCCTGGTCAGCTCGATCGTCCCTCAGGTATCTGCGTAAGCAACGAAGGATCAATAATTGTTGTAGATTTTGGCAACAATCGTATACAAGTGTTCTAAAAACTAATAAGAAACGAAGACGTAGTGTAGTTGTGTTTCCACACTCGTGTGAAGTAGATTTTATGATATAGGACTCGTAAACCTTGAGATTAAATATACTGGATAAATTCGACGAGTAATTCAAAGTTGTATTTCTGAATTTATCGTGTCCGAATATGGTGTCAACAAAATTTGCATGCCTTCAGAAATCAGTTATTTTTACAAATCGATCTTTTCCTTTTTCGGTAGGACTTTTGTGGTTTCTTTGCTTCAACAAGTTGTCTTTGATTTCCAGAGTTGATTTATCGCTTACAATCTGCCAAGAATTGGACTTTCCTTTTAAGTCAAGTTTGGTTTATTTTAGTACGCTCAACAGCTCGTTTGTTTCACGCGCTACACACACGTCTTCGTTCGTTCACTGCCAATTCAGTTCAAATTTATCAAGCGGATATGCTTGATGATAAATAAAATTAAAAATAGGTGGCGCTTTTCGAGAATAATATTTGAAGCCTTGAACGCGTTTGTGGAAAGTATTTATTTAATCCATTTATGAAAATGTTGCTCGACTTGATGCAAAAATTGTTGACGAACTTCGAGTTCGTACCGATATTTTTTTACACCTTGTAAGCTTATATTGTATTTAAATGCCACTGCTTTGTTTGATTATTTAATGCGTTTCTCGGGAAAGAAACAACCAAAAGAGTTAACTGTTTGTCTTAGGCTTTCCCTTGACAGCGAAAAGTTGAAGATTGAGAGATAATTTAATTTGGACGCTGAGCTCAAACAGGCCGGCGAATGTAATGAAAAAGAAAAGGTGTGAAGGCTCTCAATGGAGCTTCATGTACCATTCATTTTTCTGTTGAACAGCGGAAAAGCTTTCGGAATTTGCTTCAGCCCTGTTTTGTTAAGCGATGGTATTGTTAACACTGTTCGAAATGTTAAAGCAAGTTCTTGAAATTGTTGTGTTACGTAAATTTTCAATGAAGGAATTGCAATTTTCCCTTTTGCCTTTCAACGGGTGAAAACGTTGTTTTTCGTTTCCGGAAACATCACAGTTGCTTTTTGATACAGTAAAAATACTAAACGCTTTTCGACATTGCTGTGTTTTTGTGAAAAAAATAAATTACCTCTCTCTTAGATTTCGGAACACAAGTTTTCCCTGGGGAAGTATTGTTATTTTTGAACAAAAAGAAGTCATGTTCACAATATTATTTAGATTGAAAAAAACTTTGCCAAAAGCAACGGATAATTGCTAACGAAAACGAATATCAACTAATGATAATTTGGTTGAAGCGTCGAAAAGTGCTTGCATAACTTTAGACGAATTTGCGCGCGCTGGGACTCCAATTTGTAGTGGTAGACTGTAGTTAGATTTTAGTATTAGTCTTTACACTGTCAAACAGAGCTAGAGTAGCTTTCAAACGACTTGAAGTCGTTATTTCCCAGCCTAATAAAATCTAAAAAGATGTGTTATTTTTATTCAAGAACATTATTTAGTGTGTCCATGTACGATATAATAATTTTCCTCGTAGGACATTGTCGAAATATCAACTTTAAGATATGTTAAAGAGATGTATATTCTTAGCGTTCAATATGTTCTTCTAAGACTTTCTAATACTAGCTATAATATTTTGCTTAAGATGTAAATGAGAAATTTAACTATTTTCTTGGTGATTCCAAGGTACGACTGTTTCGTTTCAGTTGGAAAAAAACTCAACTGTTAAATTAATTCTTTCACAGAAATGGCACACTTTATTAGTACGAGATAATTTAACTGAATGTCCGAATTCAGCGGAAATGTTCCGTTCAATAGATTTAATAGTTACGCCAATATTCTGCAGTAGCTAGTGTGTGAAGTTAATTTTAAATTATAATAGTTGTTCGCGTTGGTATCGAAGTTGAAAATCGATGGCCCAGAAAAAATTAAATTGATGGCCTAGAAAATTGTGGGTTGATTGTTCTCTATTTTTAACTCAGTAAGAAAGACGGCAGTAGTTTAATGGTTTTGTTAACAAGTTGTTCTCGGATCAGTGCGTCTTGGAATGAAAAATTTGTAGTTCAGCGTTGAGGAACGAATGGATGACATTTTTTTGATTTGAAGAAATCTACAAATGAGAAACTTTCAACTTGGTTGATTCTCAAAGGAATCAAAATATTTGAGATAGAAAAGAACTACATAAGATCAATTTTGCCGACACGTAGCAAGTGACGCCAAGTTAATTTTTTGAAAAAAATTGCGCATCATATGTTATTGTAATAGGTTCTAATTCATAGTTCACGTTTGGATGATTTCATACTAAATTAATTCTCAAAGATTGTTCGAATGTATTTTTAATATATAGCAGAGCAGATGCTGAAAGTTATCTTTGCAATTCATGGTGTCCAAGTTTGAAACAATTTATTATTTATTGAGTCTTCAGGCTTTTCCTTTCTTCTACTTCCTAAACAATATCGCACAGTTTTTTTCGTCGCTCTAGTTCTTCTGTGTGCCAGAAATCTGTGTACCTTTCAAAGTCATCTGAGTCTATTCTAGGATTGCAAGCTTATTCACTACTATATATCACTGTACAGAGATGTTAAAACTTGGATTTGATGAATTGCAAGGCTTCATAAATATAATTGTGCCATAAGAATACTGTTCAAAACAAGGACAGTTAAATGTTACATATAATAGCCAGGATTGTTTCAAACTAATTTATTGAAGAATAAAATTTATGCAATTTGAATTTTTAACTTGTTGTGTGTTCTTCATTTGGCGACTGCAAAAATTAAGGTTGTTTTAAAGAACATCAGTGAGAACAGCAAATTGCACCAGCTTCTAGAGCACTTTTTGTGGACTGCCTTGTCAAGTGGTGCACAATTAGGGGCAGCTTCTTTAGCAGGCTGCGAAGGGTAATTGGTTCAAAATAGATAGCTGTCTCAATACACAGTTGCTGTACTCAATCACTACACACCCATTGCTCCTCTACAGCAGTCATGGAACCTTTGAAAGCCTCTCTCTCTGGTCTTTGACAAGGTCAAAGTATAAGTTTACAGTGCTTGATTGACTATTAGTAATCTGAAACATGGACTTGACTTGCCAATAGCTGCTAGGAAGTGAGTTGAACACACATGGACACTCAGGGAGGGTTGAAAATCACCATCCAGTCTTGTAACTTGGAATTCATGGCAGATATGTTTGCAAAATAAAAATTCTTAATCTGGATTGACCCTAATTATCAAATTCTCACATGATCTTGGATAAAATTTTGCAATACTATCTCAGCAAAAATTTGACCAAGTGTCCCAGAGTCTTCTGTCTCCCAAAGGATGTGATGTGATTTTATAATAGGCTATGGATTGCCCTTACAATTTCCCTGTACACTTTGATATACCTGGGTGGTAAAAGGCACTAGTAAGTGTCGTGCCAGGCTTTTAAGAGGGACTGCTTGATTTTATGTCTAAACACTGACTGAAAAGCCAGGGCACATGCATGATGAGTTTCAAGTTGTTTCCATTGGGGCTAAAATGACTACACCCTTGACCCTCATAATGAAAAAGCTGTTCTGCCTATTTTCATACACGGAGGTTTAATTTCTGACCCTCCATTTCTCGACTTTATTCTGTCCAAGAGGAACTGGCTAACAATGGCCAGTAACAGAACCTAACTCTGTTCTTACATTGCTAATTAAAAATAAAATTATAGTACTTCAGGTGAACTACTGTCCCTCTTGAGCAAGAAAAGTCACATCTTTGCACTGAGAGCTTTTACAATACCCCTTTTGAACACTTTATTCTGGATTTGTCACTGATAAGCAAAATGTGATAATGCACTTAAATAATTTAAACCTTCAAATTATTCTTTCATTTGTTTGAACATTTTGTAAATATTGATTTTGGTGATCCCTGGTAAGATGAAAAAGTTTCCTCTACAGGAAGATTTGTCAAAGATTTTGTTGGCAGCTAAATGCTGTAAAGTATAAAACAGGAAAGAATTACAAGATAAATACAGAGAAGAAACTAATGTTTACCAGAGTATACATTTTTGAAAGCTGATTGCATTTTACGATATTTACTACTAACAGCTGAACGCCACCAATACCAATGCAAGCTCTGACAGGACTGGCCCTTTGTCCATATCATTGAGGCAGAGTTCGGTTTAATTTCTTCCGAGTCAAGTGAACTCTCCATAACAATCACATATCACAAATAATTGGCAGTAGCATTTGAGCATGCTTTAAATTGTTGTATGTTCTTCTGAAGGCTTCTACAAAGCAGTGGTTGTGAAAGAATTCCACATCTTAGATCACCCATCAGTGAAGATAATCTCAGTTGGTAAATAGTAGTAAGTATTGGCTTTCCCGCTAGTCTTTTGCACTGTGGTTCTCCACCTTTGTTGATATGGCCATGGAAAATTAATATTGCCTTGCCCAGTTCAGCCTTGATATCGTCATCTAGAACTTGACATAGATCTCCAAATTATCCGTCTTCAGTTTAAGTTAACATAGTCTGCTTGTACCAAAGCTTGATGTCCTGTTCTCTCCTTTTTTTTTTAAGCTTGATGTAATCAACCAAACTTAGGTGTTCCAGAGTGAAGGAGATGCATGTATATCTTCTCTCCTGTAAGGCACAAGGTGTAAATTCAAAATTTTACCATCCTGAGTTTTGAAGAATGTTGTGTCATGTCTCAAGGTTTGTGAAATTATCCAGCAGTGTTCTGTCAATGCGGTAAATCATAGCTCTTAACTGTCTTCCAGGTCCCACTTCGTAGATTTTGCTATTTGCTGTCCTTCCTTTGAATATGTTTTGCATTGTTTTCATCCAGTTAACAGGCTCTACCAACTGTCTTACCAGCAAGCTGCGAGAGATAAATTAAAAACAAATATTAATTATCCAACTGCACTCAGGAAAGATCATATACACACAACTTAAGCAATTGTGAAATTTAATTGACCAGTAGAGCACTGCAACGGTATTGCAGAGGTCATTGGTTCGAATCCCGTTAAAGCCTGAATCTTTTCACGCTTAAATTTCACAACTGCCAAAGTTGTGTGTAATAACTGCAATGATCAATCATGTCTTAATAGCTATATCTATCACTGAAAAAGTACATCTGATATACTGGGAAAGTTTGTAATTTGAGTTACAACAAATTTTTAACTGATGGACCAATTATCATAAAACCACAAACCCTGTATCACAAAACCTCAAAATGCTTTGGCGTTGACATGCATGCTTGACTCACCATGTGGAACCCTAAAAATATTGTCCTTCAACATTCGAAAAACCGCAGCAATACACAAGAAAATTAGCAAAAGAGATTCAGTTCTAGGGGTTAAAGTATACAAGAATACCATGCAACAATCGCATTGTCACAAATGATCGACCTTTCATAGTTATTTTAAGCTTCTTTGTTTTTGATTTCATGCTTGGTGTATGCTGAAATGTATTCAGGTCATGGGAGCTTACAAAAATGCAAATTCAAAGCAAACAATAAATGAATGGCTGTTTATAATTATTATAAACAGCCATTCATTGGAGAAGTTATTTGTGGCTTTTTGTTTCTGTAAATTCTTATGCTGTTCTGATGACAGGGACCTTCAATCTTTCCAAAAACAACCTGCAAAAGTTCAAAGGGCACTCCTTTTAGCAGCGCAGTGAACTTAATTAGACAATTTAATAAACTGATGGTGCAGGAACTGAGATTTATTCAATTCTTGGCTTGGCTTAACTGTTTTCAAATTTGACAAGCAATATCATCGCATTCTAATTTCAGATAAGTCGAAGAACAAGATGTTCTTTGAGTGGCCCTTGTATTTGCTTTGATTTGAATTTTAAATGATCACATCATTGGATTTATTCCAAGTCAACACAAAACTATATAGTAAACAGTTTAAATTGTCATTGTATTTGGATGAATATTTTGTGTAGGTTTATTTAACTCAAACCTAACGGTATCCAAAACCAATATGTGACTGAAGAGGTTTGATAACAGGCAACCAAAATATATTTTATATTGCGGTATGTTTGATGTTTTGGCCAAACTTTTACAATCTATAGAGTACAGGTCTAGGGCATAACTTATTCTTCTTATTTTAGCTTTTTGGAAACCTTCCTGGTGTCCTGGGTAATTATTTAGCTTCACTGAAAAGTGATAAATCAATTAAAAAAAAGAAAAACATGGTTAACACTTTGGTGTCGCAGATAACCTATAACTAGTTACCACAAAGCAACTTGTTTGGAGAATTCTATTTTAGACATTTTGATTATTCAATTGCCAGCATTAACGATCTTAGTATAGTGATTTTCAAATAATTAATATTCTATTGTTCATGTGCAATAAATGCCTATCCTGGTTTTCAATCTGCAATTTACAGTGATTTAATGTCACAAAAATTAACACAACATTTGCCCCCTGCCAAACCTGCCCAAATTGTCTCTCAGTGCTGTAATATACATCTGGGTGGAGGGAATAGACAGGAAATGAATATCTTGTCAGAGACAAGAGTCAAGCATTCACCCTTTACACTACCAGTCAATGTTCAGAGACAAGAGTCAAGCATTCACCCTTTACACTACTAGTCAATGTTCAGCCCAGAGTTTCGAAGTTTAAGTCAACACTTGGTTATAGCTGCAAATTTGTAACATGAATGGGGTTAGGAGGGTGGTGGAACTATTGAATACTTCCAGGAACTATGAAGGAAGAGTCAATGGACTAACCAGCTGGACAATATACCATTTTATAGTTCTGTCATGAAATGTAACAGAACCTCTGTGTGAAAGCGAGGTTTGGGTTGGGCTTGTGATGATGGAGATTAAAACTACATGTACTTATCATGAGAATAATCTACATTAATTCACAAGTGGCAAGGTTTGTATCGCAACTAAATCAACTCCAGCCTTGCTTATGTTCAAAGGCATGATAATCAAGCACAAAACTGTTAAATGGAGTTTTGTCGTTGATTAAGTCTACCTTTTTATCTGATCAGGGTTATTGAAGGGTTGACAGCTTGTTCCAGAGTACACAGTACATCGAGGTGTTTGTATGTTTACAGACTCCAACACTCTTGTGAGAGGTTCTTGTGCAGGCTCCATCAGTTTTGTATGAAATGCACCACTAACAGGAATGAACTGAGCTCTCTTGATTCCATGCTGTAAGGTGAAAATGAAAGGGATTCTTCATTAAAATTTGATAGAAAGGGTAATAATCTCTGCAAGGCTGATTAAAATTAAGGATTATGTCATATAGTTCAAAAAAGAAAATACTTAATAAGATGAATCCATGGTTTAAAAACGTAAAGAGATGTTTCGATTGAAAACATTTGTAAACTCAATCAAGTCAAATTTGATGGTTATATAAAATAAGTAGTTTCCAAGTGCTTCTTGTCCAGAAAAAGCTTCTTAATATCACTAGAGCATGATGAATCATATAAAAGCAAAAATACTGAGGATATCATAAAATCCGGAAGTTAGATCTTTTTCTCAAATCAAACATCAAAACTTCAGTACTGCTCTTCAGATGTGGAATAAAGAGAACCACCTTGGATTATTGCAAAAAACAAACAAGCAGAAACTGGAGATCTTTTATATAAGAGCTGACAGCTCACTCGGACTGCTAAATATCTGGTAGCCACTATGACTCACAAATGAGCACACACAGAACTGAGGATCAAGGGTCAAGTGAGTGGCTCAAATCTTCCTCAGGGGGTAATGATACTTCAGTGAGGTGATGTAATTGAGAGAGAGATTAGTTGGGGGGAGGGGGGGGGGGGATGAAGCCTTTAAGGGTCAGAGAGACCTAAGACGCACCTTAGCTTTTCCATACTCCAGGATGTACTGCACAGATGACTTGTCACCTCCCAATACCCAGCCCCCTGGGAAAAGATAATTAGCTACACAAGCTACTGGCTCTTGTGTACCTCTGCTATAGGACCATTCTTTGGCATTATCACATAGCAACTGAACATCCAGGTCTGCATGGCCCATGATTGACACCAGCCCACTCGGAACTTGATCTGAAGCTTCCTGCATAGCCTCTGCACGGATTTTAACCACTTTGAGACCTGATTAGAACAAAGAAGATGGTGTGGTTTCAGAAACTATCCATAACAACTCCAATGAATTTTTTTGGAAATTCAAAAGGGAAGGGAGGTCTCAAAAGCCAAAATTGTTAAAGGAAATTATGAACCAAAACTGTGATTTTCTGGATTACTCACTGAAAGTTTACCCTACAGTGTGTAAAACTTTGACATAAAGAATCTGTTTCAAAACAGAGGTCCTTAATTATATATCCAAGACATTGTTGATTATTCTTTGAATTATCTTAATTTTCCTTTTTCACAATGAATTTTTTGCATGGATATAACATTTTTGCGATAGCTAACTCTTTAACTTTCCTTACCATTTTGCATTACAATGTCCAGCATCTATGATTAACAGATTGATTTTTTTTTAATTCCAGGGTGGTTTTGATTTAAATCAATGTAGACTCATGCTGGAACCATTTTTTTTAAAATAATAAATGAAAAGAAGAAAAGAAACTGTTGGGATATCACTGACAGTTGGAGAAATCTATATGAAGTATTACAATCAACTATTGATTCAAAATTTCAGTCACCAGTAAACGATCATTTTCAACTTGAAGCTTAAAAGAAACAGATATTACATTCAAAGCATTTTGGTCATGAAACCCTCTTGAATCATCTATGCAGGATTGTCTGCAGAATTACAGCAGGGCCCCTATTAAGCGGCCACTCCTAAGGAAATGGGGAGTGGCTGCAGCCAGTTAGTAAGGGTTCATCAGGAATTAGCATGAGGCTTAGTAGGAATAGCAATTTATTCAAATACAAACATGCTTCAAGGCTTGTGCTGCTGCTCATACATTTAAGGCCTATCACTGTTTTCCTGATGCACCTGTCTTCAGAGACAACAATTTCAGGTGCTCTACACCGAGATCAGTGTACCTCAAGTATTTTGTCCCAACTGGTTGATTGCTTAGTGAACATGGAATCACATCAAGACAGTCATAATTAAAGTGTGCTTAAAAGTTTTTATCTGTTTTGACTTTCTTTTTCGGACTCTTTCCTGTCATCACCTTTTTCAAAGCAAAGCCAAACTATGGGCATTAAATTTTAGGTGGCCGCTTAATAGGGGTAAAGACAATTTTATGGACAACCCTCATCAGGACGACCAATAGGGTGGTCATGGGTGCTTAACAGAGGTGGCCAGTTAATAAGGGTTATATTAACAGCACAGTATTTTACTGATAACAATTTCTGGACTTTGATAACTGGCCACTTATTAAGGGGTGGTGCTTAAAAAGTAGCCGCTTAATAGAAGTTGGACTGTAATCAATATCAATGATCATGAAAGCCCTACCATCTTCAAATGAAAGAGCTCCAGAAAATATCAAGGCTGATAACTCTCCAACACTAAAGCCAGCAGTAACTGTTTGCACGTCAAGGTTATCTGGCCAATCAAGGACCTGTATCAGGTGTGTGAAAAATCATTTATCAATTAGGCTGCACTGTTGCAGAAATAAACTTATTAACTATTTTTTTCTTACACTGATAATTATGACTTTCTGAAAAAATGGTCATTTCCTTTCACATGGTGACCACCCCAAAATAGGTGACAACCTGATTTTACTGTAAAAAAAAAAATAACCACTTAGCCACTGTATAAGAGTTATCTGTGTTTAACCCTTAACATGATCTGATAGCTCTTTAACAACAGAACAACAGCTGAATTATATACTTTGGGATATCGCTGTTGAAGAAGAAAGTGTACTTCAAGTGGATATTTTTGTATATAATAAGCTTATAATTATCAAGGCTTTGTTTTCGAAAATACTTGCAAAATACTCATTAAAAGCCATGTTTCCACAACTCTACAGAAACACATAATTATATTATACAGTGGATGCACTCGTAAGCGAACACCCTCGGGATGCGAAAAAGCTGTCTGTAACTAGAGCTGACCACTTACAAGAATAATTCTGCAGCTGCCAATGGGAGCTTGCCCAGCTTACAATAAACATTGGGAGTGCAGAAATACCAACAAATTTGTTTTGTCTAATTTTATTTTGTGTTAATTATTGCTGCTTGTGTAATGCCACGATAATAGTGATCACTGCCTGTGCATAGTACTGTATATTGCAGTACTAAGACTGGCCCTTTGTCATTAAAGAACAAACCATACTTGCAGCCAGCATTAACATAAGCATTAACAGTCCCACTGCAACAAAAAGCAGTGATACAGTTTACAAATGCTTATAAGAATCTCTCAAATTCAGGCCCAATTCCTTTCAAGTGTCCGTTTACGGGACTTAAAATGAATGACCTCTATCTGTAGATCTACAACTCTTGCCAGACCACATTTGATAATCAACAAATTAATAGACCCTATGTTACTGTGCATCTGTTCAGTAATAGATTGCAGAAGACGTCAAAAATGTGGTACGAGAAAAAGTGGGACACAAGGCGATAGCTAGCCGAGTGTATCAAAATGTTCTTTCCACATTTTGACGTCCACTGTGTCAGTGATCTATTACAGAACAGATGTAGGGCAACAAGGAAGGTACATGTCCTATTTGTTTTACATGTATATAATAGACACGTTGATGTTACTAAGCATCTGTACCCCAATAGATCATAAGTAAAAACCAGTCAAAGTGTGAGAATAATACAATGTTTTATGGCTAATTTCACTCTTTCATTGCATTTCTCATTTCATCACTTTTTAGCGGGAAAAATGTATACCTTGGCACCATTGACCTTTTGTTCCTGAAGAGCTGCAAGAGAGGCCACAACAATTGCAGGTTGACAGTTCACCGTCTTATTCAACTGTTCCACGGGCCCATTCAAGCATAAGCTCAGTAAATCGTAACCCAAAATCTTGCTAGCGTTCTCAAAAAGCTGCAATACCTTACTCTGTGTTACTAAGCATTTGCACATTCCAACAGACTGCGCTCCTTGCCCCGGAAAGAAAAAACAAGAGCTTGAACTCCATCGGGAATGTCCATGAAATTTGTTGACAAAGATAAGCCGGGAGAATAACGTTCGCGTTAGCATATTCTTGTCAAATGGGTTCGTCGGAAAAGGTACATTATGGTACAAGTTGACTGGAAGTCGCCATTTTGTTGGTTGAGTCGGTTAAGTCCTTGTCGTGTCAGCAGTAAATGGTGTGAATTTCTGCGCGAGTCTGTGATTTTGAGCAGAATCCAAGATGGCGGAAGATGTTAATCTCCAAAGCTCTGGGTATGATGAAGACTTATGCGAAAATCCTTTTTTCAAGTACATGCAGACCAAACAAAAGCAGTTGTACGATGAAGTAGCCAGCAAAAGATGGACGGTAAGTCTGACGTTCTGTTATATTTCACCTAGAGTTTTGTCAAAGAACATGCAAAATTTTTTTTTCGAGCTAGCCGGTACAGCTATCTCAAATTCGGATTTCCGTCCTGCTTTTGTGTGTTTTCAAGCATTATACTTAAAGGTATCACCTACGCAACATTTAAAAATTTCTAAATTATTGTGCTCATCTATGTTAAATGAGTGAATGGTTAGTGGTTACCTTTTTTTAACAACTGAAGTAGCTAGCTAATTACATGTAGCTAAGAGCATTGGTTTGTAATGAAGATATTGGTTACGTCACCTACAGTGTATTCGCTGTGTCTGTGTGCGGGGGCCGGCCAGCATATTTTTCAAACACCTCCGACTCTGGCAGTCCGGAAATTTTCCATTTGCCACTTGGAGGGTGTGTGTGGCCCAAACCTTGAAACCTGTACTCTAAAATATATGAATGCAGCTATAAACCAGAAATGGCTTCCATTTGAGTAAAAATTCAAGAAGGGCTAAACATTTGCTAATGTTGATGTGGGAAAAAATAGTTCCTTGTAAACAAAATACCCAATGCCAAACCAGAGTAAAATCATACCCTATTTCAGACCAACATGGCCAAAATCTATACCCTTTTTTCAACCCAAACCACTCCAAAACCATACACTTTGGGGCTGCACATATATATAGTCCATATAAGGGAGTTTCCCCCCTCCCCCCCCCCCCCCCCCAGCCAGTACGGGAAGACAGCTTAGACAGTAGTTTCAACCATCAAATAAGAAAACCAAGGGATCATGCCAAGGGGCTTTGCAAGGAATTGCACAGTCACAATTCACAGCTCTGTGGAGGTTACCGTCCACTAAAATTTTACCGACATTTGCAAGCAAAAATAAAATTGTGTGACTGCATACAGAGATGACAAAAACTATGCAAGCTCACTGGAAAACTTACATGTAGCTGTATTCTAGGTTTCTGTATTGGGCACCTTAAAGATGGCTGAACTGAATATTTTTTTATAGAGAAAGTTCAACTCACAGTAAACTCTCTTTAGGCTGAAGTGAAGTGAAATGAAGTGAAGTGAAAGACTTTATTTAATGAGGGTGACCCGTTGCAGTAACTTAAGTTACTGATAAACTTGGGGCCCTCAGCTTAAAATAATTAGAATGCTAAAAATATATTAGGCTGGTGAAATTATTTGGTAAACCACCCTTTGCATACATGTATGTTCCAATCCAACTTTATTCGTCTGTAAAATATTACTTCTGGTATGGTTACGCTGTCATTTAGATGTCATATAGTTAAGGTTACGGTATACCTTAGTTTAGAATATTGTTTCACATCCAAGCGATGTTGTGTGTCTGGTTTAAACTGTTGATACCTAAACCCCTTTATCAAATTAAAGCTTATAGAGCTGGCTGTCAAACTATACCAAGAATTTTGAAATAAAATGTTATGTCAAAATTTTTACTACCTCTAAATGCGGGCATCCGAATCACCTTTTGAAGGCTACAAGTCAAAGCAAATTTTGTGTTTGGCTTATAAATTTGGTCCATATTCATATTCTCGGTATTGGACTGGAACTAGCTTGCAACTGAGGCTAATGCGGGGAGTGTTCAAATGCAAATGACATTTTTCTCTTTTAAATGATATTCTGTGCATGAGCCTCCATTGCAAGCTAGTGCCAGTCCAATACCAAGAATACAAACATAGCCTATTACATCAACATTTTTGTGTAGGCTCTGTAAGCACTCTAACCACATTTTTTGATAACCTTTGCTGTTTAGATATGTGTTCCAAGGCAAGGAACCTTACCAAGAGGAAGCTTTACCATGAATCATGTTGAAAATCATGTTCTGCAACCCATAGAGGGGAAATCCTTGGCATTTAGAACTTTAAATAACAAGGTAAGACTATTTGTATAGAACTTAATCCAGAAGTTTTTTCAGAAAGGACAATTGTAATATGAATGCTTGACATTTTTTTGTACATTTTATTTTGTGAGTACGCATGTAGAAATAAGGGTTCTTCCTATAATGCAACAGATTAGCATTTTTTCAGTGTAATAACACTGAATAATTTTGTTGATACGAAGAGCCCTCATTCTGTAGTTAGCATAAAAATGTACAAAAATCTGTTGAGAGTTCACGGCTCAAGGTCCACACGGTGAAAATATACTAACCCTAATCCTGGCATTGCAGTTGACAAAACAGAAATGTTACCGAAAGCCATTGACCTTAGGTCCTTGTTAGAGCTACTACTTGCGCATGTATACTATTTGAATTTATCACTTTATTGTTTAGAATTAACACTGCGCAATATTCTACTTGTTTTGACAGGAAGTGCAACTCAGTGGGGAGTTTATAGTCACTACTGAAGGTTTTCAGGATGTGAAATCAGTAAGTACAGCTGTTGATTTCACATTTGACAAGAATATCATTCCACAAATAAAAATATCTACTGAGGAAAGATGTTATTTGGAAATGCACAGAGTTGACAAATATAAGTACATGCAATATTAAATCTCAACCTTTACATTGTTGAGTTCCTATACAAACTAGTCTAAGAGACATTCATGAAGTATCTATAAAGTAAAGTTCTCCAAGGTACTGAACAACAACAACAACAACAACAACAATAATAACAGCAAAAAAACTGGAAGAATTCAACCATATTAATTTTATTTTAGTGTATGTTCCTTTGATTGCAATACATGTAATTTAGTATTTTCCTATTTTTAAATATACAGGTGCAGGTCCTCTTTGAAGAAACATTTTTTAATAGCAACAGTCAGAGCTTCCCAGTGCTGTGTATTGACCAGCCATTAGAAGGAGGCATAGGTACAGTAATCTAGCTTGTGTATGTCAAGCCATTGCAACTTAAGTCTTCTTGAGTTTGAAGTTGTGAATTTTAGGAAAATAATTACAGGATTTCAATGGGTTTTAAAATTGCAGTGTATTTCACTCCCCAATGCAGATGTCGGTGTCTGACTAGTTACATGTAAATATATATATGTAGAAATTGGATTATTTTACAGTCTTAACAAAATAAATTTGTTTCACCCTTTAATCCTGTCAGTTATCAAAATCTAATTTCTCATTACAATACCATTACATTTTTTGAAGCAAACAAGTGATGAGAATAAAGAAAATCCTCCTGAAGCTAAGTTATAATGTTTTGATCTACCACCCAATTTTCATAACTGATAATATTAAAAGAACTGTATGGCTGTCAGTAAAAAGAATTAACGTTTTGAACTTGGGACTGAAAGGTTTAAGAGGGGTGATGAATGTTAAAATCCAAGGCTTGCCTTGGAGTTTGATAACATTGTTTGAAAATCTGAGACGGAGACCTAAATCATTTTAGACTCCAGAGGAGAAAGAAACACAGGAAAATGGGACACATCACACGAGATTCCCAGATTCTGAGATCAAATCAAGAGTTTCCAAGACCCACAATTTTCCAGGTGCCATTTTGCACACCTTAACAGTGTATGCTTTAATTGTATCAACAAAATAACTTGCAACTTGTTTTACAGGGGGTAGTTTGGAGCCAGCTGTGACATCACTGGAGTCGTTACAAGGATGTTATGATTTCCTTTGGAATAGTGCAGGTTTGTTGGCATTTGAACAATGTGCTTGCTTGTGTTTTTTTCCTCAAATAATTACTGTCATCATAATATATTATTAATATTATTAATAAAGAATGCCAGTTCAAATGTAAATCCATCAACTCAAAAACTTAGATCTTACTTTGCTACAAACCAATGCAATAAATGCAACTGGAATTTCACTAAATCCTCAAACTAAAGAGAAGCCAAAAAAAAAATTCAAAAAGAAATGAGGTTCAGAGGGAAATGCCTAAAACATATGCTTTTACAGGCAGGGAATGCTCCTACAATGTATGTTCCATGTTCTAATGATCAGAAGTAATTTTTTAGACAGTTTGGCTACAATATGTACATGTAACATACTGTAATTAATGGTCATTATGATATTGAATTAGATAAAAAGTCTTAGATCACTTTTTCTTAATAAAGCTGGCTTATAATTGCCTGGGCCCTTGCCCATTGGGCAAGTGAAAATGAAAAATTACTTGCCCAGCAGGAAAATCTAATTGTTCCTTACCACTGCACGGCACTTTTTTCAAGCCCTGTCTAGCTCTTGAGACAACCCAGGAGTCAAGGGTAAAGCTCATAGGCCCTTATACAGAAAATAATATGCAGATATAATCTAGAGATATAGTCTACAGATATTTTAGTGTAACTGTCCATATGTGTAAGTTTTAAATGCAATTATAGTGACCTGTTGTAATTAGGTTTGAATCAAATAGTACATTCCAGTAAACGCTAACAGTATGTAATAATTATATACTGTTTTAGGTAACAAACAATCTCAGAAACTGATTGACAATATCTTAGTATTGTTTAACTCAACTTATGAGCAACTTGAAGGAGAGTCTTTACGGCATTTAATGGTAAGTACATTAAAAATGCATACCTCATTATGCATTATTCTACAATTTTCAAATCACACCTTTAAAGGAAATACAAACACTCAAAATCAAGGGAATAAAAATAGAAGCAGAATAAATCAAAACTGTATCAGAATTTTTTGATTTGGTGTAAACTTTGAGTTTCTGTGCCCAGTTGAAATAAGGAAAGTCGTAAAAAATGCTGGCATTTTGGTTTGCATAGGTTACGACAAATCTGCTTCATTTTGTGCATTTTATGAATAAATCCTTAATGTGTAGCAGTTCAAGAAAATACCAACCAGATGCGAATTGTACAGCTGTTTGTAATGCCAGTCAGAACTTAGAAGAGGGTTATAGCTCTTTACACCATACTATTCAGTTGTTCATTAAAAACTTTTATTATATGGCTTGTGTTTGTAACAATAAGGTATGCTCTGATGGGTTAATTCTAGGGAATTATTCTCCTGTAATGCCCACAGGCCAGTGGTGGGCCTGCCAAAACAAAGTAGAAAACCGTGCAATAAACAACTTGATAACCTCAGACTTTCAGTCTTTACGGGAAAATCTCAAACCTTGGCCTTGCCATATTGACTACGTTAACTATTGCTTAGTCAATACGGAAATGTCATGGTTTGAGATTTTCCTGTTTAAGACTGAACGTCGGACGTTAATAAGTAGTTAGTACTACACCATATTATTATGTTTTCTCTGACGTTCTGTGACAAATATTGATAGGATGCAGCTCATGCAATTTACACAAGAGCTATGCAAGCAGCACTCAAGAACAGCCATATTGTAAGTACATTATCTAACACTGTTTGGGGACACTGCAGTGGAGTAGGTCAGACGTGTAACCCTGTAAAAGTCAATAGTTTGTTTACGATAAACGAGCACACGATTGCAGATGCAAGCTTAAATTCGTGCTTTCAGCATAGAATAATGTACGCAATTATTCTATGAAACTTGTGAGTCTACAGAAACTGGCGGCGTCACGCAATGTATCAACAAATTGTGACCTCTACACTAGCATGGACTTTGACATTATGCATATCTGACTGTAAAACCTCGGTTGCTGCTGAAAAATCTTGATTTTAGCAATGGGCAAAGGGTTAAGTCAGCTAGTGAAATCATTTATTTAAGGTATATGTTTTAAAGTGAGGGCGTCGAATGCACTCTTATAATCTCTGATTGCTACTAGTAATATCAAGTACATTAATTTTGTTAAATGGACAAGTGAAAGAATATTGTGCTCAGGATAATTATTTATGCGTGTACTTAGTGATCTTGGTTTCATATTTAGAATTCTTTTTTCTCCTCAGAGAAAACTTGCTCAACATAATACCATTTACATGGACAATGTCAAACTTGCAATTGAGGTAGGTCAGCATGTGTTTAAGTAAGAGTGCATGTACTGTATGTTCTCGTGTATGAAAAAACACGGTAACCAAAATCCACCAAATTCATGAAGTGATAGTTATTTACTATTCTTTCATGAAAACAGATTAATTGAATGGCCCAAAGGTCATAAATTTACTATACTTTTAATGGAAAGTCCAAGTAAAACTGTAACTAATAAGTGAAGTTTACCTTTTATTGTCTGAGGCTTTGTTCCAACATAATCAAATTTTCCTTTTGTGAAGCTTGTGGCAAGTTTGAGAATGTAAGTTTGTGCACCTGATAGTGGAAGGTTCAAGAAGATTATTGTGAGAACATATTTTGGTCCTATCAGTTCAGTGCAAAATTATGTACATGTACATTTGTAATGCCTTTCTAAAAATAACCTGCCATCATTTGTACTTCATTCAACAAACGGAGAAAGGGGAAATCAGGCATTTTCCCTTTCCTCATTTGCCAAAACAAAAAAGAATGCTTGATCACAGGTTATGCTAAAAATTGACTTGTTGTTTTAATTTTTTTGTTTGTGCTTTTCTCAAGACATATGTGATGAATCAACTGCATGACCAGCTCTTTAAAGGAATCAGCTCCATAATTGGAAAGGAGGTGAATGATAAGCATGGTGACAGTTTGCAATAATTTAGCCACTGAGACGACTCTATTATTTGTATTGAATCAGATCTGTTTTATTGTATATTTAGTGTTTTCTTTGTTGTCACATTCTCTCTAAATTTTTCATCCATCAGTACAGTTCAGTATAGAACTTGAAGATGATTTCCAGTCCATAATGTGCATTCTTGAAAGTTTGTTTAATATGTTTTTTCGCTTTGATTCACGTAAGATGGCACAAACCGTAGCATTTTGCAACCACTTGATACATGACATAAATTTCATGTCAATCACCATTAGGGATGTGAAGATTTATGCCTCATTCTTTTTTATATCACTTGATGAAAATAACTCAATAACTCTGTAGCTTTAAAAATCAAAAAAACTTGGAAAAAGAATTTAAAGTGCCTCAAAGATGAGGCAACAGGATCTTAATGAAAAACATCATTTTACAGTACAGTACATTCCACTGAGTGATACTCACAAACGTTGGGGTGCTCAGACTGTGCAGTGGGGTTTGGAAATCATCTTTAATTATTGCACAGTTATAGCACTCTAGTGAAGTTCCTCAAGCGAGGTATGGGTTACAAGTTCAGCTGACAATCTTGGATTTCATTCCTTCCCAGGATGCTGTATTGAACAAAACTACTCGAAACTTGGCAGAAATTCAAATCAAAGACCTGGGGGTAAAGGAGCAGTTGCGGTAAGTATAGACTGAGACATTATGTATATTGTATTGGATTTCGCAGTTTGTGAGAGTTGCTATTAATAATAATGAAATAAATAATGTATAATTATGTTATATGCAAAACCACGATCAGAGTTTAAGGATGAACTCTTATTCTTCTCTGTTTGTCTTTTCTCTCGTTTTTAGCACCAACCTACCTAGGGGAAAAAGAGCTCTTTCATTTCTGAACAGGGTATGTCTGTTTTTTTGTTTTTTTTTTTGTTTTTTCCTTTTTCTTCAAGAGAACAAACATGATGCTATGATTTCTTAGTTTTATTTCCCTAATTTTGTTTTTATCTGTCATTTTATAGTACAAAACTCCATTGGAAAAGTTCCACTGTTTGAAGAAAACAGTTACCATAGTGACTGATAGAAAGATGAAGACTCCAGATGGTTAGTAATAATTGTGTGTTAACTTACTGTACTGTTGTTTAGCAGAAACTCTTAACAACCATGTCCAGCTATCATCGTGATAATGCAGCCATAAGTCTCCCTAATTGCGTCTATTTTGTTATTGCCTGGCTCAAAGACAACAGGTTGAGAGTTTAGTCACCGTGTTACATCGGATTCCTGCAGAAAAAATATAACTCTTACAAACCGAGTTTAAGGTCCATACTGTAGGTTGGGCACAAAGCTTTTTCCCATTCGTTCTATGGCCCAAGCGCAAAGCTTGTGGGCTATAAAACGAAAAGTTTTACAGTCACTCTTATTTGTCATGAGCGTTGAGAAAACCTGGCCTTAAATCACGAGACCGGGCAGTCTGATGTCAAAAACAGCTTCCAGAACAGTAGAATGCAGCCTGCTAATTTGACTGATCACAGTCAGCTGAGACATACAACAATTTAGGGACTGTGCAATAATTACCTGGAGAAGGGGGGGGGNCTCAGAATCACTGGACTCTGAGCTTGTGTCGTCTTCTCATGAATTGGGAGATTCATAATCTTCTACAGCATCTCTGTCACTAAGGTTCCCGCGTGCGTGGGTGAAAACTCGATCAATCAACTCAGCCTAGCTTCCACTTATCTTAAGACCTTTTCGCTTTAGATGCATTTTCAGCTGCTTGTTGGTGAGCGCTTTACATCTTTTTAAATTGTCCAAGAAATAAGCGGAAGAGTGTTCCTTATTCTTACTCTTCTTTTGTCTTTGGCATCGAGGAACTCAAGGTGCTGTACATAACTTTTACATTCAGTCTCGTCCACGGTGTACTGGGAACATACCTCTTGCAAAGACATTTCTTCCGAAGAGGGCAATTTTCCCTCGTTGAACAATCTCTTAATCTGGACACTTGGGAGAAACTTGTCGATCTGGTCTCCAGTGGACGTTGCCGTAGTGAATAGTAAATACTTTCCAGGCGAAGTACTGTAGCATCTAGGGTTGGAACTGGAGAACGTTGGACAGGAACACCTCTTGTACAACCTTCATTAAGGCATACATCGCACGTTGCCGAGTCCAGGAAAACTTAAGGTACTCAAAGAAGTACTGCCCCTGACGAACATGGTCTTCTTTTAATTTCTGAAGCTTTTCAAACAAGGCATTCCCACACATATTAAATTTTACATCCAACCCCTTCTTTCTGTTGTTGTCATTTTCTCCTATGCCCTCCTCCCTCTAATTTTCCAGCCCCCCCCCCCCCCCCCCCCCCCCCCCCCCCCCCCCCCCCCCCCCCCCCCCCCCCCCCCCCCCCCCCCCCCCCCCCCC